CCAAAAAAACTGGCAAACAGATGATTAATAGCACGAGATAGGTGGTTTTAATGACGTCATATTGTTATTAATAATAATAATAATAATAATAATATTAAAAAAGATTACAGATTATTGAGCGCAGATATAATTGTATATTGATTAATTTCAGGTTTTCATGCAATTTTCATTATGTTTAGGATTGACTCACCTAAATATTTTAGTATTTGAATATTTGTTCACTTTAAGGATTTAGTTATTTATTCGTCTTAAAAAGCAGAAAGCTGTTTAATCTGACTTTCGTTTCCTTGGTGTTGCTCTCTGCTCCGGTCCTGTTCTGTTTATCGAGTGACAGAAGGCTGCAGCTCTCTGAGTCTTCATATGTATGTACTGTACAGTAAATGGTCTGTATTTGTATAGCGCTTTACTAGTCCCTAAGGACCCCATATAATATAATAATATAATTTATATTGCTATAAAGTTAGAAAAGATCAAAGACAGCTCTAATAGTCTACCCGTGAACAGTGCAAACTCCTTACTCTTCTTGCAGTAGAAGGTGAGTAGTGTTTGGGCCTGGTAGTGACGAAAGGTGTCCTGTAGCTGACGTGAGCACCGCAGGGTCAGAGTGTGAACCCTGGTCCTCCGGTCTCCTGTCTGGAGGGTGTAAGATAAAACAACCTGACACACAGGACAAAAGGAAAAAAAACAGGTTTAGTGTACAGCTAACATGTAAACTGGTTCCCAGTATGTGCAGTTACCGTTCCATCGATACATCGATATCACCTTATTTGTAAACTACATCAGCAAAAAAGCTTAAAAATTGTCACTATAATGGATTTAAATGACAGACCCACCTGTATGGCTACGCCCCTCGTCTCATCCAGAGCTCTGGTGTGTGCGAGCTCCACAGCCAGTGTGGTCCACATGTCGAGGGTGGCCAAGGTGACACGTCCAGGGTTAGAACCAGGAACAAACAGCCCGTAACAGCCGGACACGCGTAAATCTAGTGAGACGCGTACATGTAATGGAAGCATTTCTGCAGAGCACTCCCTGCAAAATCTTAACTAAGAGATAAATCTCACCTTTGCTGACAAATATCCTGAGCTCAGCCTTGTAGCCTGTGTGCGTCTCTACAGTCCTCTTTAGATCAGTGCTGAAACGCTCTCTGTCCAATTCTCCCTGTGGAGCATATAAAAAAGATACCAGTTTACAACCAGACCTCACAAAACATTTTCCAAATCGTCATTATACAGATACAGATAAAAGACCTCCTGCAGTACTGATAAATCTGATGGCCTCTTTAATTTTCTCCAGATGGCTTTTTTCTAGTTCCATCTGCTTGTCTGCTGATGTAAGAATCTAGACCTTGTTTTTATCCTTGGTTTAAAAAGCACCATTTGTCACATGTATTTACACACATTTTAAACAAGATTTGTAAGAGTGAAGCAGAATGTAATTTGTCCCCATTAGGATAACTAACTCAGGCAGTGGAATTCTCAGTGAAACAGTAGGAAAAGCTGCTGATTTACCTGGAGGTGGCTGTAAGTGTGCAGAGCTCCACCTGTCAAATATGGAATGTCGCCTGGCCAAGCCCCACCCACATCTTGGTGAGAGAGGACAAACAGATGAACACCACATCCCTGATGGACGCACTCCTTGACCACTGACACGACCTGTTCTGATGGCTGAAAAATGGACTGTGGGAGGGGGAGGAGAAAAGAAATTTACATATGGAGTGGGGTCATTCACCAAGGATGAGTTGAACGGTTACATTGCGACCCTAGTACCCACAGGTGTTTACACCTTATGGCATTGAGATAGTCTACCTTTGGTTTGTTGGTGCCAAAGAAGCCTGAGCTTGTGTGTCCAGTCTCTATCAGAGAGGTAGTATGGAAGATCAGCAGCTTGCCAGGACAACCCAGACCCTAGTTTGTAATACAGTCAATTATGATTTTATCAATATTTAATGCAGCCACATCGCACAAAGAAAAACCTTTAATTGTGACATTTAGCCTAATGAAGTTTAGTGCAGTTATGCCAAACCTGTAGTACAGCAAGTCCTGCTTTGACAGGCAGCTCCATGGGAACTCCACCGGAGTCAGTTCCTTCTGTGTTGAACTGAGGAACGAGTTGTAACACGCTGCATGAAGAACAGAGACAAACAGATTGTGAAACTCATGAAAGACATCAAGACAAGACTATACTTACATCAGAGTTTAAAAACAGTGGCACCTGCAAGTGCTACCAATCAGCCTCCTAGTAGATGCACTTATGGTATCAATTTGAAATTCCTGGGTGACTTCCTAAGTAAGTGCATTAATGTCAGAGTATTTTTGCTTTTAAGGATTTTATTATTCATATAATAATCAACTAAGAGTGTTTATATTTCTCTTCTGTACTCAACCAGCTGCATATTTTAATTGCTGGCTCCCTACTTTATAACGGAAACTGTTTGCTTTCACATAATCACTCTTTTGCCTTCACATTGTCACTGTTTGCCTTCACACTAGCAGGAAACCGCCACCCACGAGTAAGAAACAACCTTGTAGAGAACACGAAGTTTTTTGATAAACCACACCTGTTTTCTTGACAAGATAAGGATGATATTTCCTTTTTTGTATGCTTCATGATGTGTATAAATAAAGCCAGACTGCACCAAGGAGGTGTGTGAGTCTCTCCCTGAGTCTCTCACCCGTGCACGTTTAAAACTGCTCTAAGTGTCTGAGTGATATTTCATTGCATCTGAGTACTTGATAATAGAATATCTTTAACATTTAATTGGTCCTTCTGAGCCGGAGTGGACATTGATATTTTTTCAATGCTCCAATAGGAGACCTTCGTCAAGTCCTGACGTCGTGAGAAGCCCACGCTGTCGACTCCTCTCCAGGCAGAGGATAAAGTCCAGAGACGTGACGTTCGGGTTCTGGCCAGCGTTCTTATAAGAGGTCCACGACTTCAGGGGTTGATGAAGGAAACCAAAGCAACCACACAATAACTCAGGTGAATATTTAGCACTCACTCACATCTTGCGCAAAACGACTGAGGCAACCTGTGGTCTGTACATAAAATAGTTTCCCGTCAAAATATGACAGCTTAGTAACAGTCTCGTCTGAAAAAGGACTGGTAGAAAAGTTACGCAGCTCGCCTGAAAAAGGGCTTGGAGCAAGCTTTATGTCAAAATACGACAGGATAGTAACATTCTCGTCTGAAAAAGGACTGGTAGAGAGTTACACAGCTCGCCTGAAAGAGGGCTCGGAGCAATGTAAAAAGACACAGAGTTGCCCAGAATAATACTCATTACGCGTATGATCTGTTGTTTTACTGTTTTGTTGGTGGAGTAAGTTGATTTTACAGCACATTAAGGAGGCTGAACTACTCCACCGAATTGTTTACCGTTGGTTGCTCGAGTTCTGGTGGAACGGGAAAAGGTTGTGTTTCATCACATAAAATTGACACCGCTTTCAAGGCTAGCTTGAAAGTAGAAGGCCGTGTCAATAGCCTCTCCCATTCCTCGTGCCAGAGAAAGCACCACGGGTGTGTATGTGTGTGTGTAAACGCAAATATAATAATAATAATAATAATAATAATAATAATAATAATAAGGAAAAATAATAATGGGTAATAAATCAACAAAACTCACTGCTGACGAGCAGTGGCTAGAGAAAAAATGTCCAAACGCCGGACTAATTAGTAAAAATAGATGGAGAAATCCAAAGAAACTAAACTGCCCTGCGTGGGAGGGAAAATGTACTCCCTTTGCAGTGACTGCTTTAAAAGACACCCTCCAAGCGGAACTAAACAATGAAAAAAGTTTTAAAAAGAAAGCCAAACGTCTCACAGAGTGGCAACACTTTAAAGCCTGGATGGCAGAAAATGATAAACGCACAAAGGTGCGAGAAGAGAAAAAGAAAAAGAAAAATGAACAAAGTAGTGAACTAAAAGATCCACAACACCCAAAACCGCCTCCTCCATATGTGCCTGCCCCCGGCCCGTCTAATCAGCCAGTATCAAAAAACCCCTTCACTGACGCGCCAGGCCCATATGATTCAGCAAGACAGCAGCATTAGTGACACATGGCTTAACGCATTTGTCAACGGGTGGAATGATGAATGTCCTCTCTAAACACTTCTACACTAAAAATTTTGAAAATTCAGCAAAGGAATTCATCAGAACATGCATGATTTGCCAAAGACATAATGCACAGGGGAACCTCCGACCAAAAAGAGGTCATTTCCCCACACCACCTCACCCTTTCCATACAATCCACATGGATTTTATTGAACTAAACGAATGCCAAGCATCAAGATATGCTCTAGTAATTATAGATGTGTTTTCAAAATGGCCAGAAATCTATCCAGTAAAAAGAGCAGATGCAATATCAGTGGCAAAGTGCTTATGCAATCATTTCATCCCCACATATGGCATTCCCAGTCTGATAAGGTCAGACAACGGAACACATTTTGTTAATGACATCATCAGCAAAGTCTCTGAAGCTCTAGGATTTAGCATCAAACATCACTGTGCATATCACCCACGAAGTGCAGGACTAGTGGAAAGAACTAATGGCACAATAAAACAGAGATTAATAAAATGCATGGAAGAAACAGGAAGACCCTGGCCCGAATGTTTAGGTTTGGTAAAGATGTGGATGAGAATAACACAAGGTTCTCAGAAACTTACACCTTTTGAAATCATCCACGGGAGAGCGTTTCCATTGCCAATTACTAGTGAACCTATTAATAAATCAATAAGGGAAACTACCCTAGCAGAATGGATGACTAAGCTGTTTGAAAATAAAGAGATTGTGTTAAACAACCAACTGCCGAGTGATATCTCTCCAGTGTCTTGCAGGTTGCAACCAGGTGATTGGATCCTGATCAAAGTACTCCAGAGAAAGAATTGGAGTTCACCAAGGTGGGAGGGCCCATACCAAGTCCTACTTGCCACACCCACCGCCTGCAAAATAGCAGAAAGACCATCTTGGATCCACCAAAGCCACTGTAAAAAAGTGAGTGACAATCCAGACGCTTAGACGCCGGCTCCCCTGGCTTCTAGGTGATCTATTGGTGGAGGGAAGGGCTGATTGGGTATATCCCGCCCTTTTTTTACTTCTCGCCAATAGTCTACTCACCAGAGGTCTAGGTGTGCCTGGTCATCATGAAGACACTTGTCCTCCTAGTGGCCAGCATTGCACTCCTGGTGAGCCTACTAATACTCACCCAGATGAGAGGAAATAAACAACACCACCTGCAAAAAAGATGGACACATGACAACTCACACCTGCGCGACCTGAACCAAGACCGTGACCACCCATGGATGAACAACGCGTGGTACAGATATGTGTATGATAGAACACGCACCGACAACAGCACGGAATGCTATGTGTGTTCACATATGCCAACAACAGCCGTACACGCAACAATATATGGAAAGGCACCTGAACTTAACGAAGCGATGTGTGTGTTCAACAAGGCAACAATTGGAAATTGCTCACGCAGAGCTTTGATGGCAACAGGACTGGCCCTGAAGGGTCAAAGCACAAAGAAAGAAGACTTAATTCCATGGTGTAGTGACACAGACGTCAAACGTGTCATGAAACCACTTTCACAACGACGGATCCTAATTGAACAGACAACCCCTTGTGCCTACAATCTGACGAACTGGAACTACACCTGCAACGAAAAACATTGGGTAAACGTCAAAGCCAACAACACAAAAAACAAATCATTCGCCATAGTTTTGCCGCCGGACATACAGCACCCAATGTGTTTCAACTTCTCCGATGGAAACAGGAAACTTGGACGAAACCGCAACTGCACACAGACACTTGACCTGACCCAATCCAAAGGAATACACACCTTCAAAAATGGAACTTTCTGGGTCCAGGGAGCCGCTTGGGCCTGCGGGCCTAAAACCTACTTCATGCTCCCACCGAACTCCACCGGTCTGTGTGCACCAGTACTAATTTCAGACCACACCTTCAAGATCACAGCAGAGACACACACGTCAAGAGCAAAACGTGAAGTTGCTGAAGTAACTGAAGTAATGCCACATGACTCAATCTATGGATCAGATGTGCCCAAGAACTTCAAACTATGGACTGATGGTCAGAAAGTCCTCCACTCCTTGTTCCCTTGGGTGGGAGTTGGGAAAAACATGCTGAGGATCGAGACACTTGACTATCGATTTGGACTGTTCCTAAACGCTTCAATGAAAATCAACAAAGCGCAAAATGAAGAAATCGACGCAATACGCATTGTAGTGATGCAACACAGAGTCGCACTAGACATGATTCTAGCTGAAAAAGGAGGTTTGTGTGTATTGTTTGACACTACATGTTGTACATACATCCCAGACAACATACACTCACAAAACATGACCGACGCTTTGAACACCTTGAGAAAGATTAAAGATGCTGAACAACAAGACTATGTCACAAGCACTGATGATTGGTTGACATGGTTACTAGGTGGTTCATGGAAGTCCCTACTGATTAAAGGACTTGTTGGAATTGCATTTTTGCTTTTACTGTTATGTGTTTTCACAACATGTGTAGTACCCTGTCTGAAGAAAATGGTGTCAAACATGGTAACAACTTCTATCAATGCTTATGTGATGATGTCTCAAATGGAAGAAATTTTAAAAAATGATCCAAACAGTAATGTTTAGTTTAATTGAACACAGGACTGTTTTATGACGTTCAAACCGAAAATGTTTAGACAAGAGGTTATGAACTGACAAAAATAACAGTACTGTCATGTGAGAAATCTAAACAACAGGAGGGAAATGTCAGAGTATTTTTGCTTTTAAGGATTTTATTATTCATATAATAATCAACTAAGAGTGTTTATATTTCTCTTCTGTACTCAACCAGCTGTATATTTTAATTGCTGGCTCCCTACTTTATAACGGAAACTGTTTGCTTTCACATAATCACTCTTTTGCCTTCACATTGTCACTGTTTGCCTTCACACTAGCAGGAAACCGCCACCCACGAGTAAGAAACAACCTTGTAGAGAACACGAAGTTTTTTGATAAACCACACCTGTTTTCTTGACAAGATAAGGATGATATTTCCTTTTTTGTATGCTTCATGATGTGTATAAATAAAGCCAGACTGCACCAAGGAGGTGTGTGAGTCTCTCCCTGAGTCTCTCACCCGTGCACGTTTAAAACTGCTCTAAGTGTCTGAGTGATATTTCATTGCATCTGAGTACTTGATAATAGAATATCTTTAACATTAACAAACTTGAATGTAAATGACACCTAACCGCCTGCCTGCCAGGGTTTTGTGGCAATTAACATACTAGCATTGTTTTCCTAAAAACATGTCTACCATGGGTTAGGGTTATTAGGGTAATAGGGCTATTATCTACCTTATTAAGCCATAAAAACAGCTCATGAGTTTAATTTTTGTAAACGAGGAAAGGTGAGACATAAAATAGCAATAAGACAGAGTTCGCCTGTTTGTGATGGGTCAAGTTAATTGCTGCATTATCAGAAACAGCCTGCATGTAAATGCCAGCTTGACCCCACAGGGTCGCAGACCTGGTACCTGTGTTTGAAGCAATCATTTCAAAGGCAACACGAATGCAGGTTTATTGCATACATTTGCAATTATTTTGCCTGTTCTATAGTCTCCAGCCAGCGTTTTCACTATAGTGACTGCAGCATTTGTGGCACCACAGTGGTCAAGGCCACTGAATGAGATCAGGGGAGTAACCATGACAAATGTGCCAAATTCCACAGCTTTTTATCAACATGGACCTCAAACGTTGTGGTGATTGCCTGCTTTGCTACCAATAAAAGATAAAATATTACTTGAAAGAGTGAAACATGAAACACTGACATGAACAAAGTAGTACCACTGCATCAGTTTGTCATACAGACTCGGCAAAATACATCTGAAAAAACTGCTAGCATCTCTGTTACCTGTCGATGCTGCTGATACAGTCTTTGAGGGGCACCAGAAGTCCCTCCCTCACAGGAAGCTGCAGGTCTTCTGTCTCTGTGATGACCAGCATGTGTGGGCGGGACAGTTCAGGACTGAGGTCGTAGAGGTGGATCCTGCTGTCATACGTCATCAAACCAACACGGACATCTAAAGCATCACCATCCTCCCTAAACACACAGGATGAAACCTTAAAGACAAACCAGGATTTATCAAAATTGCACAGGAATACTACTGAACACTGTTTTACCTTTTCATAGAGTTAAGCAGCATTTGTATTTGTTGTGTTACGAATTCCAAGTGTCCTCCTCTCAGTGCTGAGACAGACACATCTATGGCTAGAAGGAGTGCAGCAGCTTCCCCCTGAAACAATATGACAAGTGTGTCACAGTTGTACTTAAATTTCACAAAGCCTGTTTTCAAGAGCAGCTAATGATCATCAACGTGCAAACAAAACTGTAAATGGGTAACCTTCTGAGAATTGAGGATTTCATATGACCCCGTGCTGAGTTCAGGCCTCTTCTCCTTATCAACCCGAACCCCGTTCACACCATTGGTAGGCTGGTAGTGCTGCCATGGTACTGAAACACAAGAGAAGACAGACAAACTGCAGCTACACAAAAAGCAACAAAATACAACAAACTACACTCAGTTTGTCCACAGCAGTTCAATACACTGAAATGGCTTTTAAACTTCTTACTTGTCTTCATTCCACCAATATTTTAAGTATTTTTACTCAAACAAGTACGTTCCATAAATCCATAAAGTCTTCAGGTCAAAAAGACACAAAACATTTTTCTGTTAATAAACAGTACAGTGTAGAAAAAGTTGCTAAAAAACAAACTATTAAAGGAAACAAAAGACAGTACAAATTTAATTTAATTTAAAGTGAAAGCAAGGAGTTAAAGGGCCAGAGCCTTGGGACAATGACTACAAATGTTCTGCCTGCTTTATTATTGAGCTCGACCCCTGGAATACACGACTGACCTCAGTGTTTGTACAGACCACATAACGACTGCATAGATGAAGTTTAGTGTATTTGAATTTAATCAAATATAGGTTTTTTTTGTATTTTTGGTATTTGTGAGTTTACCTTCTCTCTGTTAAATCTTACCTTCACTGAGTTTGCCACAGAAGGGGCAGTAAAACCTTTGACCACAATCCTGCCAGCCCATCGCTGGACACATGGAAGCTCCACACCCCCCACAGCCCACAACACACTCTGTCTCTTTGCACAGTGGGAGAGGCTTCTAGAGGCAACAAACACACACATTTAATGCATCTAATATCTAAATGCCATATTAGTTAATTGTAGCAACAGTATTGTAGCTTCATCTCCATTTTTAACAGAATATGAAGCAAACTGAGCAGCGAGAAACTAACCTCTTCAGCACTTTGTTTTACCAGAGGGGTGATCAGAGCGCCCAGCGGCAGACGGCTAAGCAGAGCGGCCTGACCCTCACAGGGCACACAGTACGAAGTGGAGCGGATGGCAAAAGGACTTGCATTACCTACAACAGATATAAGCACACAGAGGATCAAAGATGGGATGCAGGTTTTAAGTAATGGTGATGCACTGGTGAATATGCCATCTGCAACCAGAGTGCTGGATAAAATAAATTTAGGAATACAGACAGTTTTGTGTGTGTTCACCTCTGTCCTCTACGATATAGGAAGTAGTTGCCAATGGAGGAAGACTGGAAAAAGGCTCAGAGGTAAAAACCTTCCCCTCCCACTCAGCCTTGTCTTCCGTCATCACCTTCACCTAAGGCCAAGAGAGAAACAAGAGGTGGAATCAAGAATATGTTAACATTTCAGAGGAAAGACATATACGTGTAAATGCATGGAATTAAGGATAAATACTAAGCTGCAAAAGAAACAAGCAGAAATGGTTAACGACACTTTACATTAATGGACATTAGACATATTAGAGAGAACATGCATCGTCCTTCAGACTAAAAGCCTGAGAGAAGTTCAAGAGAAAATTGTTGTTCGCTTTAAAGGAGCGGACAGGAGTTAGTTATGAAAAGACAGAAAGGTAAGAGGACAAAAGAACTTACAGCGCTAGGCAGGAGCTCTGGGTCCAGACCATAACGAGATTCAGAGTTATGAGACTGCAGAGAGGAAAGGTAAAAGCTCATTCTCAGAGCTAAGATGACACACGGGTGATAACAGAGTCAACACGAGCTGATGTTCAACCTATTTTCTGATTCTGAAAGAATAAAGGTTCCTCAGTTTTACAGCAGAGTAAACACACATGAAGAAGTTAGCTTATAATGTTAGAAACTTATATACAACTTCCTTAAATTTATGGGGTTCTAAAGACTAAGAAATTATTTTGCTATAAATTATTAGAATTATATATATGCATATTTAATATTAGATGTTTCCTCACCTGAGGTGTGAAGCTTTTGACCTGTGCAGCTGCAGTGGGAACAAACTGGTTTATGTTTTCTGGGGAGAAAGGGGAGATCCAGAATAGTAATAAGTGGTCTATTTTTATTCACACTACAGCACATGACATCTGATTAATAATAAATGAACTCACCTCCAGAGTGTGCTGGAAGTGTCCACTGAGGCTGCTGTTCGATGGGAGATGTGGGCGAGGCATGATTGTGAGTAAATACAGCAGATGATCTGGCATTTGCTCCCTCAAATGCAGGCTGAGGTATACACTGTGGACTCTCGTTTCCATATAATGGAGGCCTAATGGGCAAATGATTTTGATGTGGTGACTGAGGTCCATTTACTAAATCCTGCTGTGTGTAGGGATGCTGGAAATGTTGAGCTACAGCTTGGTAAGGGTTGTGAGGGGAATGAAGTGATGTCCATTGGGTGTCACAAGGACGAATGCCTTCATTCATGTTACTTCCTTGGCTTGCAGCTGGAATCGTGGCTGAAACATCAGGAATGACTGGCTGCACACTGTGGTCAGTGTTATTAACATGTAACAAGCTGTTATGAGGATTGTTGTTATTGGGTGAAAATACAGTGAAGTCTCTCTGGAAGCTGGAGCTGGACATCTGGAGGTGGTTGTAGCAGGGAGTGTAATCAGAAGGAGACCTCAGGTTGAGATGCTGAAAGCTGGGCAGAGGGTCAAAGAGGTGTCTTGGAGGTGAAGCTGTGGACCAGTCCTTCTGACCCGCCCACGGCTGGCAGGGTGTCTGGCTCTGATTGGCTGAGGGGACGTCCATCATGCTCCATAACCATCACTGATAGGTGTATTTCTTTTTGGAGGCGTTACCTAAAGAGAAAACAGAAAAATATATCAGGAGGGTTGTAATGTGATCCTGCGCTCTCCACTGACACAGGTTATATTTTGGAATACGTTGCATTTTCAAAAACACAGATTTTTCGCTATGAGTTCAGTTTCTATGATTTTTAAGCAAATTTTAGCAGAAACTGTCGAGTCTACATAACCGCTAGCTGTCCTTCGGATAGCACCGGATCTAAATGATCATGAAACAGATCAGTAACAGTACATATAAGCAAACATGATGAGATAAAACACCAATGACTCAAGAAACAAATTCATATTCGGTTATAAAAGACTTAATACCCTCGGACATCAAAGGAAACGGCGGGCTCCGCATGCAGCACTTGAACATTTGCGTCCTCATTTTCGCCTCCCCTACACCGGAAGCGAAATGCTTTACGTTATATTAAAATGTAGAAAAATGCACGAATGCGATAATAGTAGTTTTGTAAGCGTTTGTTAGTAGCTCCAGCATCCCCGGTTCCCGTTATACACCTGAGCCTCACTGCAATGGAAGCGTCATCACGCTGGAAAGTCTAACGTTTCCGTATGTCCTTTCACAGTAAAAGCCTCCAAAACGTACATATTTAATTCGGTTACTAATTTGGAGTTATACAATGGGACTAGATGAAAATGTTTTCTATACTATATCATCTGTGCTGAAATTGGGATTATTGCACATTTATTTAGATAATTTAAAAGTAGCTGCTAATTCTTTCCAGCTGAAGATGCCCAGAAAACCTGAAAACTAACTAAATACATATATGGTAAATGAAATAAGGTCAGCCAACAAGAAGCTACAATACTAAACACGTGCTTATTAAATGCTTCATTACTTTTTTAAATGTTGCAATATAATATTAATATCAGAGTGCTGAGTGTCAGACTGGCGACCTACTAAGGGTGTACCATGCATCTCTCTGTTACTGTTAAGAATGAACAGTGCAGTTCTGTCACCAAGTACTTTCTTTTTGAGAAATTAAGATACTGTTTTGATGAACCTTTTATATTTATATTTGATCAAATTCAAACATTCTGAATGACTAATTTTCCTACCACTCCTGTACTCTCGGTGTACAATAATGTGTCATCAAGATACAAGATTTTGCCCCCCTGACCAAAAAAAAAAAAAAAAAGCTACAATATTATTTTTGAGACTTTACTGTTGAACATTTATTTTAACAAAGCATCATGTGCCAGTATACCAACCAATGTAACCAGATACTGTATTCAAAATTGGTCACAGTACCGAGGAACACCATAAAAAAAAGTATTCATGTAAGTATTCATGAACTGTCTCTGTTAAACAAACTTGATAAAATAAAACATAAAAAAAAAATGAAAACAAAAACTGAGAACTATAATGGAAAGATATTCTCACATCTGATATACAAATGGACAGAAAGATTAAAGAACAATAAGTCAGCTGAAGGATGTGAAATGTTGCAGGTTTGAGTATTAACATCATATCAAATCTACAGCTGTTGGTAATGTGGAGTACTCTGCTGTCCCGCTGATTTTCTGGGCCTTTTCCTGCTTTTTGGTGAATCTTGGAAACAGTCACTTTGTCTTTGCAGGGTTGTGATCCTGTTTCTGACGTAGTCCTTTACACCTTTCCACGTGCGGTTTCTCAGCGCTCTTGGCTCAGCATCAAGACACTTTATGCAGTCGTCTTTCTGAGGCACCTTGTGGCCTTGAATGAAACTCATCATGTGTCTTTCTACAGCGTGGACCTCTGCCTCCTCCCACGTGTGTTTAGTTTTATGGTGGAAACCTATGAGGATGAAAAAAAACCAACAAAAACATATAACAATATATATTTTTTTTCATGGTTATTTCTTTTTATGATTTTGTCAGGGGCCATCTGTAGATGCTTCTATCATGCAACTGAATGTATTATTTGCTGTATTTCTGCCCACCTTGTTTTTATAGATAATACCAGATTACTGTTTCATTCAGATGCTAATGACTGCTTGAAGTTGGTACACCTATTCGGTTTATTTTTAAGATGTTAAATATAAATAACTACTTTACTTTTTATGAAATATATAATATTGAACTGGAAGAGCTATAAGTAAAATGCTCCACACACAGACTTTGTTCCATTTTGGATACTATTTGTTTACATTTGTTTATTTTCCATGAGCTTTTTTCACCTAAAATGCTGCACGTAGGACCACCATGTATAGATTGTGTTAATATACTGTGCTGCTAGAGGCTGGTGGGTTTACTTGTGAAATAGTTTGAATCTTATTTGACAAAATATGTAATTATTTCATTCATCGTGGTAAAAAGCTAACATTCCAAAAATTTGCAAAGATGAACGAGGCAGATGAAGAAAGATGTAAGGTTCAGGACCAGCAACACATAAAAGGTGGTAGGCCTACTAATTTGACTCTTGTATTTTTATTAATTTATTATAAGTTTGTGTGACGGTCCCATTATTGTGATGAAGGCAATCTAAACCAAATGCAAACAGAAATGAATAGACAGGAAGTATATTAAAGGTGACCATTATTACCTTTCTCACTGGATTTGACAGATCTGCTCGTTTTGCTGGAGCTTGTTGTTTCTTCATGTTCTTGTTGATAAAACATTTCTGTTCCACCACCTGCATAGGAGTCATTGTGATCCCATGAACTGGCTTGTTCTCCACCTGCAGACTGTCTCACTGTATTGAAGACAAAAAATATATACGTATAAGGAAAATTATTACTTTATTACTTTTTACTGGGAATCTTAATGGGGAGAGTAGGGGGAGAGATAAGTCAATTAAGAGGGAATGTTGAAGAAAACAACATCATATCAAATCTACAGCGGTTAGTAATGTGCAGTACTCTGCTGTGGCTCTGCTGATTTTCTGGGCCTTTTCCTGCTTTTCGGTGAATCCAGGGAGAAGCCGCTTTGTCTTTGTAGGGTTGTGATCCTGTTTCTGACGTAGTCCTTCACACCTTTCCACGTGCGGTTCCTCAGCGCTCTTGGCTCAGCATCAAGACAGTTTATGCAGTCGTCTTTCTGAGGCACTTTGTGGCCTTGAATGAAACTCATCATGTGTCTTTCTACAGCGTGGACCTCTGCCTCCTCCCACGTGTGTTTAGTTTTATGAAGGGAACCTGTCAGGAAGAAAAGAAAAGAAATCAATGATCCTGACATTAAAATTAATCTTGGGCAGAGAGTATAGGAATATTTTTCTGAGAACTTCTTTGTGATCTGTGTGCAAGCCCAGAACCAAAAATAAAATCTAATTATTTAATTTGCACTGATAAAAAGCAGGTATCCCTAAAACCTGGGCTAAAATGCTAGCCACGCAATGACAGAGTAAGAGCCATGGAGGTCTAAAAGATCAACTGAATTCTACTAATGTACTGAACTGTAAGTAAAGTTAAGTCTGACAGTCTGGTAAGGAAAACATCTCTGCAGCAGGTAGTAGCTAGCATGACATGATATTACCTAAAAATACCGTGTCAGTCTTAAAGACTACCATTATTAGCTTGTCCACCTGATTTGACAGATTTGGGACGTGTAGTCTTGCTGGAGCTTCTTGTTTCTCCATGTGCTTTTTGATGATTAAAAGGTGCCTCTCCATTGTCTGTAGTAGAGCCTTCATCGTGATCCTGTGAGTCAGCTTGTCGTCCACTCGAAGGCTGTCTCGCTATAAATAAATAAGTAAGTAAGTCTATGTTCACCTTAGAAATCCCAGCACATATACACAGAGATGCAAATACAACATTTACTACAACTATGATTCTAATCTGCACCCTAAAACAGCATTTAAGGGTACAGAATAAAACTGTGAGTACTCAAAAAATCAGCTGGATTATTTGAAACAACACCACGATGAAAACTGCTGTGCTCATAAAAAGAACAGACTGGTATTGTTAAAGTGGTGGGCAATTATTAGCTTTTGTTGGCCATTGTAATAGAGGAAGACACTCATGACTTTGTGAAAGAGACAGATACAAAAAAAAAGCTGAACAGAGAGATCGAAGAGTGAGAGAAGGAGGTAAAGAATAAGCAAAGGAAGAATAGCAAAGAATAAGGAAAGAGGGTTGCTGAAGACATTTACAAAAAACAAAAAAAACAGGTTTGGCCTTCAGCAACATATCACATCTATAGCTGTAGGTAATGTGCAGTACTTTGCTGTGGTTCTGCTTCTCTGGGCCTTTTGCAGCTGGTCGGTGAATCCTGCGAAGAGTCATTTTGTCTTTTCAGAGTTGTGATCCTGTTTCGGACGTAGTTCTTTA